GTCCGCCCGCCCAGCCGGGCTGTGCCGCCAGGGGCGCAGCAGGCCGGGCCCGGGGGGCAGGGGCATTGGGCTGTGTCGGAGGTCTGGCAGTGACACCTGGCCCACGTATTTCAGGATAAGACGCTCAGCTTGGCACCAGCTAATCTCAGAACAAGGGATTCCAGAAAACCAGGCCGCCCTTGCCAAGTAACAAAATCCCCCGTCTGCCGCCAGCTTAAAGCCGGCCGGCTGACCTAGAAAAGCCGAGAGAAGACAGGGTCCCCACAGCACTGTCCTAGGGTCACTCACACGCCTGCTTTAGCACCTGTCCTGCGACCACTGTCAGGGAGACAGGGGAGCCGTCCTGGAGTTCTGACGGGCACCTGCCCAGAGACCAGAGCACTTTGCCTCCAGCCCAGACCACAGACCCTGTTAATGACCTGTCAGAAAACACTGAAGGCCTGAGGCAGGACTCCACCATTCTGAAATCCCCCTGAGTGATGCTCTTGGAGGGTCTGTGAGTGACACTGGTTCACCTGGGCCCCAGCGCACCCGCCTGCTCCAGCCCATCTGCAGGACCACGGAGGGCACGCTGGCTCCCGGTCCTGGGGATCTCCTGGGTGGCAGACAGGTGTGTGTGGTGTCATTGTCCTCCTGTCCCTCCCAGTGGCCCTGGGGTCTGAAAGGGGGTGAGGGCTGGGGCCAGCACCTCCCTGTTGCATTGGCCACAGCTCCCAGGTAACGTCACGGTCACTCTGCATCCACCTGGCAGTGCAGCCTGGTGGGTGTGTCATCTCCCTCCCGCCCCACATGCACGAGTCGGGAGGTTTCTCGTAAGGTTCTGAGCTTCTGGCTTGTCTTAAACCTCAGGGGTGTGAGGACAGGGGCTGGGGAGGTGGTGCCTACACCCCTCACTGCCCGGGCCTCCCGCACGTGATCACACGACCCCCGAGTAACTCGCTCTCCTCCCTGACAGTTTCCACAACGGTCCTCTGCCAGAAGCTCATGCACGTGGTTCCCCAGGAGACGTAAGTGACAGGAGCCGGGAAGCTGCCGGAAAGAAGACTGCACAAAGATCGCTGAGAACAACCCACCCTAGGAAAGCGACTCTGGTCGTGTCGTCCAGGCAGCTCAGCCGAGCGCCCCCTGTCCCTCTGCCAGGCCCTGGCCGGGCCACTGTGAAACCTGGTACGAATTTAGTCCCAGAGGACGGACTTCCACGGATACCTCTTGCGTGTGGAGGCGGGAGCACTGAACCGAGAGGAGACTGCGGGCTTTTGGCCATGTTGGGCCTTCTCTCTTCTCACTTGTTTATTTTGTATAATTTTTTTTAACTTAAATCTTGGGTCAGGTCAATGCCACCAAGATGATTATTTTTTAAAGAAATGGTGGGGGGCCAGGGCGAGGGGTCTTTTCTCCCCTAACGCCGCCGGCAGCACGATGTGCATCAGAGGGACCAGGCCCTGTTGCCAGATTCCCGCCCAGTCTCCGCCCTGGGACTCGGCCTCACCCTGTGGACTGCGGCCCGGGCGCGTGCGCTCAGCTTCCCTGTTTGTTTGTTGTAGCTGTAGTGACATTTGTGAAACTAACCCCCAGGGTTTACGTCTCTTTGCCTTAAAGACCCGAGGTAGCTCCCTCCCCACCCTCCGAAGAGAAAAAGAAAGTCTCAGTGAAACAGCCGCCTTCAGAGAGGCCTATAGGAGGAGAGACCCTAGGCTGGTTCTGACTTCGGTTCCCGTGCTTGGGGTCTGCTGTGGGCAGGGGGCTCCGAGCAGGGGTCAGGGTGGCTGGGCGAGCCTGGAGCTCCCATGGGGACACACAGGACGGGGCCAGTGTGGGGATCGACCCTGTCACCTGTGACACCTTAGCACTGCTGACTGTGTGCCCTACCTGGACGCCAGCCTGAGCGGGGACATGGAGGGGACTTAGGCGTCTCCTGTGGGTGGGCGAATGGGCAGCAGCCTAGCCTGGCCTGTGGACCACGCTGCCTTGGGCCCACTCTGCATCGGCTTTGGAGCCAAGCTCGAGTTCTCTCAATGCTCCACACCTGAAATCCTGTGGAAGCCGATGCCACGACCCCTCGAGGCCTTCCTGTCCGTGTCCCGCAAGGCAGCCCCTCCAGGGCAGAATGGCAACCCGGCTGCCATTTGGGGCTGGCTCCCCGCAAAGACGCCACCATCCCCTCCCCGTCACCTGTCCTGGGCTCAGTTCCGAATGTCAGGAGGCTGGAGTCCAGCCTCCACCACTGTCACCACCTGGCTGTCCAGGGTCCAACTCCTGGTGGGACCAGCAGGCCGGCCCCTCCTCTCCAGAGATGCAGTGCTGGCACCGTGTGTTTGGTTCCCGTGGCGTTTCCCCTGGGGAGGCAGCTGAGGCCCAGAAGCTCATCTGGCCCAGTTGGCTTCCCTTCACTGTCCCTATGTCCCTGGACCCAGGACGACCTAGGGTCACATCATCTCCCTCCAGGCCCATTTAGGCGCTGGTGGCTCTGCCTTGGCGTCTGACCCCTGACCCTCCCAGCAGGGGGAGGTTGAGCTGAGCCCCCAGGTATCAGGCCAGCTGGTGCTGTTCCCTGGGGGCCACGTGACCTCTGAGTGGCCAGTCCAGCCTGATACCACCCACCTGGGCTCGGTCTGAGGGGTCCAGGGAGCCCGGACAGGCAGCTTGAGGGGCCCAGGCTGGGCACTGAGGCTGAACAGGAGTCAGCCAGATGTCCATCCTCCCTCTTTATGCTGATCAGGAGACCCTGCCCCTCTGGGGCTCCAGACACATGAGGACTGACGTCCATTGAAGTCTCCTTGACCACTGCATCCTCCCGGGGCTGTCTCCCCGCACCTGGCGGTCCAGCTCAACACCTGGGGGCAGGATGGCACCAAGGAAGTCAGAAGACCTGATTGTGGACTTTCTGCATCAGGCAGGACTCCAGCCCTGGGCCTCAGTTTTCTCATCTGCAAATGGCATCAGTAGCTGGTGCAACCCCTGCCTGGTGGCACTGTGCACGTCCAGGGGGAAACTGGCCATTGCAGTGACCACAGCACCGTGTACAGGTGGTGGGACGCTGCCTGGGGTGCACTGCCCACCTGCCCTTCCACGGTGGTCGGGCAATGTCTGAGCTGATTTCAGCCTCTTCCCTCTGGGATTTGGGGAGTTCAAACCACTGACTCTGGAGGTGACCTGGCAGGGTGCAGGGAGCCAGGTGTCTGTCCAGACCACGGTGGCCTTCCCATGGCGTGCACCTTGGGGAATCGGGGCAGTGGCACTCTTGCAGGAGTG